TTCTTTGTGTCGGGCGCCGAGGTCAGATAGTGCCGAAGGCACGTAGTGCAATATGTGTGTCCACAGCCAAGGCTTTCGGGATGTGAAACCGTGTCATAACAGATGATGCAGATGTCGTCCCCATTCGCTGCATAACTTTTATCCAGTCTTGAGTTTGTGAGCAATTCATCCAGAAGTTCGGGGTGAAGAGCTTCATCTCCGCCCTTGATTATCAGCTTGCAGGGTGTGGAAGCTAAGTCAAGGGAGACATTGTCCTCTCCGAGCACATCCTTCAAGGCGGCTAATCCTCGAATTACGAAGTATCGGACAGATTGTCGTTTGAGCGGAATAACCCTCTCCAGGGACGAGAGCCTTTTGACTTCTTCCTTGATCAACTCCTTGGCTTTGTCCAACATTTCGGTATCGCCGTAAACTCTCAAAGCCTGTATCTGTTCGGACGTAGGCCCCGCAAGTCGTATGGACTTGACGCAGGAACCGTTGTCCAGCGGCCGAGAGAAGGGAGTGGTGCCAATAGCTGGCGTCAAGACGCTCCCCGCCAACGAGACTTTCGACTCTGACTTTGAGAGCACCCACTGCTTTCTTGTCATCCCCCGTAACCTTAATAATCACACGACCATTCGGGCGTTGGTGGATGTGAAGACCAGCCATGCCGTTTTCTCTCCCCTCCATGAGCGAATTCCATAGCTTGCTCTGAGATTTGTATTGCACGTGTGGAATGCTGGTTTTAAGTAAAGGGTAATCATGGCGGCCCGGGAGCTTGGTCTTGTCCAGCGTATCTGAGACAGATTTTGCTGCCTCCCAGGTATGAAACCGAACCTTTACGCGGACGTTGTCATCCCTTTCGTTGCTGGGCATGCTGACGAATGACTGGGGAACGACGCCAGGGCAATCCTCGAGGTAACTGTGCAGAAATTCCGTGAATTCTTGAGCATCGTATGTCGGGGAAGAGACGGTCTGGAGGCAGGATGTTTTGGAGAATTGCTCAATATCAGCTAATGGAACATTTGGGAGCAGATTCGTGAGTTTGATTGAACCTGGGTTGTGGCGCAGACCTCGACGTGGCTGATCCATGACTGCTCTGACTTTGCGCCCATTACAAATTTGCCCATCAAGCTCCTTGGCCATGACTCTTGCTTGGTCAATCGACGTGTATGTGGCAATTATTGTCGTGGATGGATTTTTCCAGCTGATGGTTAGAGTTTTGGAGTTGTCACCCGATGAACCCATAGAATCCCAGGATGCATTCGCGCTGACTTCAAACCGTAGACGCTCATCTCGAAATTCGATGCC